CAAAAAGATGTACAGCCTTGGAAACCCCATGAGGCAGCTCTGTCCCTAGGCTCGCCGAGTTGGAATTGACTCTACTGCAGTGGCCTGGGAGCCCCTCTGATGTGTGTGCACGCAGATCGGTGTGTGGTGGTGTTTCTGCTTAAGGCATACATCACCTCGTTTTTTTCTGCTTTCCACCCACAGGTTACTGAGTAGGTAAGGGAGAATCATTCAATCAGTTTCTCAATCCTACTGTGACTCTGGGACCGACTCAATTGTTTTTGCCTGTCTAGGGGCAAAGGCATGGTGGGAAATGCAACCTAAAAAGCCAGTCTCTCATGCGAGCCGCTGTCTGCCTGCACACGTCTGCCTCATGCGCTCCCTGGCGGCTCATCCCCAGCCTCTGTCCCTGTCACCTCCTATGCACTCAGGACTCCACAACCTTATTTTCAGCTGGTCACTGGATATACTTTGTAGACATTTTTTAAAGACCCGATTCCTCAGTTACTAACCCTGCTAGGCACTCTGTGGCCTTTAAAGAGCCCCATCCACACCCTGGGGACATTGTGGGCTCTGTTTATGTAGCTGACTTCCACCACTGAACTGTGAGCTCACGGAAAGCACAGGCCAAGTTTGCTTTTTTGGTCTCCATAATTTCTGGCATAGGGTTTGACACAATTATAATCAACTGATGATGATTCTTTGAACAAACGCAATCAGCTGAGGTTACACACCTATTGACAATTTCTTCCCTTAAAAACATTTGAGTTGGGCAATGCTCTCTGAACTTCAGAGCAGGAAAGGGCCTCTTAAGAGTCCAGCGTGACTTCCTTCTTTCACATGGAGGAAGCAGACCCTGTGGGGGATATTTCTGAACCCTGTAACCCCAGAGGCTGACTTCTCTTTATCCTCACCAGCTGATTGGACTCCCAGCTAAACTCATGGCACAGGACCTAGAAATGTCTTCTTGAAGTATGACTTTTGGGGACAAAGGTAATAACAACCTTTTAGGTAAAATGTAAGAACCTGCTTTGGACACTTTAAATATGTATGTTACATGCAATGTACACAGAGACCACCACTCCCTCCCCAGGACCCCATCCCCGGAATCTGCCTTGAAGGTCTGGAATGGGACCCAAGAATATTTACCAAGGTATTCATGCTTTTCTGTCCTTCTAATAAACAGTTCAGCACTGGCCTTGGGCCTGCAGGTATCTGTTTCAAGGCCTTTTTAGTCCACTATCACCAGAGGCTATTATTACCTTCACCCGTCTCCTCCCAAGGACCAGCCAAGGACCAGCGGGCCAGCTTTGTCCTGCCCACAGGGTCTAGGCTGGAATCTCTCCATCTGGCTGCAGCTCTCACATAATGGGGCTAAACAGAATAGTAAAACTTGCAGCAGCTCAGCCAGGGAGGAGTTTCACAGTGTTTATGTATGCAGTGTTGCAGAAGTTGGAGAGAATTTGGGGAGGGGAGAGCTGGCGGTCCTAACACATCCCTCTGCCTGGCAAGCTTGAGGATTTCTTACTGATCACTGTAGAAGAGCTCAAGCCAGCATATACTGGGGAACAGAGTCACCTCTGAGTTTGGCAGGCCCTAAAGAAGCATTTCACCAAAATTATTCTTAGTTTAGAGCCTGGGACCCCAAAAGCATAAATAAATAAATAAATGGAAATCGTCTTATTTGTTTCTTAAGGCCAGGAAAGAATGAGGAGACGTGAGAAAATAGCTTGATGCATGTGAAGAAATTAAATAACTTCCCACATCTTCTAGCAGATCGAATTTACATTTTACTTTAAAAAAAAAAATGGGGTGGGGGATGGGAGTACATACACAAGGAGGAAAATGGGCAGGGACAACAGTGAACTGAAAAGGGCTTTCTACAATTGCCCCTACAATGACCAGCTTTGTCGGTTGGGCAGTATTTCTCCTGCTGGCGTACAATTGCTTACAATATTAACAAGGTTGTAGACAAGGGAACTGCCAAAACTGAGGCTTGGATGGAAAGGAAAGTAGGTTATCATATACAACGTTAAGTTTACAATACACAGCATTTTCTTTAAATGATGTAACGCAGTTGCAGGAAAAGGTTAACAATACTAACACGAGAATAATCAAATTTTGTTATCCATGTACAGCAACTAACTGCTTTACAAAAAAGCAAAATAATACAATATATCATCACATGTATTTACAGTGTAGTAAATATACTTTTCTGTCAAATTTTACACAAACTATTTACAGGTGAATATACGGCATTAAAAAAAATTGTGTGGCTAACACTAAATGAATTTTCATATAAGTTCATTGCATAACATTGAATAAGACATGCCTCATTATGCTTGAGAGGGAAAATGTGAAAACAATCCCACCCCCCAAAAAACCCCCAAAACAACAAAAAAAGACCCTAGAACACCCTAATTCCACAAACCATGAAGGGCTGCTGGCTTCCATTCTGCGTCCCCCACTCAGACACAGCTTCTGGTGGTGGGAGCTCACCGACTGTTCACTGCGGGGTCTTCAGCACCTGGCTCCGACCTGGTGTTTGGTAACGAACAGATGCTGACTGAAGGAGGCCAGAGCACTAGCCACCCCTCCACCCTCCAGTTAGTGAGCGAAGCCACGGCAAACGGGCACGCACCTGGGATGGGGGCACTGGTACAACAGGTAGATTATTTGATGGAAACATGGTTGAGTTACTGTTTCCCTTTTTAAGGAGTTGGGGGAAACATCCACCAACCTTAGAGTACCTATAACGGTCTTTACAGAACTTACATCAAATTATGCAAAATGGGCACTGTGCTCTGAATTTCATGATTTCTTTTGCAGACTGCAGGTATAAGGCCTAAGTGTTTCATTTCTCAGGGGAAGCATACTGGTCAGAGACTGATCTCGTGTTCATTTTAGCTACTCAGAAAGCTGTATTTTCCTCCAAAGTTGGAAGTTCTCTAAACAAGATAAATTTTAAATCTTAGTTAAGTTTTCAAATTCCTAAGACTGGTCAAAACTAATTTTTGCACTTCAAAGAAGGCTCAAATTTGATTTGTGCAACGCTGATCATTTCATGAGGTACTTCAAAAGTGACTCCACTCTATTCATGACACCAGAGGGAAATAATGAAAACTTTTAAAAAAATATCACACCTTGGAAAAACTGGTAACGAACCAGGTTTATGGGAAGAGCAACATTTCCAAGAGTAAAATTTTGGAGGTTTCTCTATTTTGATGGAAGAAGCAAAATAACATAACATCTACTGTCATATGCACCAAACCAACAAACAAAGAGAGAAAAACACTGAGTCAAATTATGAAAGGCTCACATTGCCTGGTATTTCAGGAGCCAAGAAGCTGTGATACCCACCCCCAGAAAAGCACTGGGCTGTGGGGAACCAAGGCCGTAACGGCAGCTTGGCACACTTGGCACTGGGTTAACATCTATCTCTAAACTCAGTTCTAGTTGTAGTTTCTTTAGAGTCTTAGTTTTTTAGTTACTATAAACATTCTATTCTAATGCAGCCTCTACGATAGTTTTTTTAAAAAAAAAGTTTGGTTAATTGCACCTGTTTTCAATATTTCCCAATAATTCTATGTCAAAATCACTATTAATACTAAGTTTTTTTTTTTAATTTTTTTTTTTTATTTTGGCAAATGGTTCTTACTTTTCCCAGGACTGTAAACAAATTAAAAAAATTAAATTCTTGTTAATTCTGAATATCAAAAGCAATTTTATTTACATTAACATATTACATTGTTACTGTGTGGATAAATGTGAAATGTGTTATATTATTAAAATCAAACACTTCTATGTACCATTATTTATTGATTTAGCTGTGGAGTTTAATTTACTGAAACCCACTAATGAAACAGCACTACAGGAAACTCCCCTCTCCCCCTTTGTTTGTTTCTCCCCCTCCCAAAGCCATGATTACATCTTAACATAGAAAGGGAACCTGGCACTAGGGAGACAGTATCTTTTTGTAATAAATACGGTTCAATTCTAAATTACTCTGCTCGCTGCAGGTACCCCAAGATAGATCAGTCCTGCATTACTATGGAGCCGCCCAGCACCGCAGCGGCTCTCACGGTCCCTCATGTCACACCAATGCAGGCTGACCGGGCTTTTCACAGTGACTGAATGCAACTCTATCCTACAGAACCCAAACACTATGCTAAAGCGGTTCCTGATTTTTTGGCAGGGAGGGTGAAGAGTATAGGACATTTAAAATACATCTTATCAAAGAAATTTATGTTAATATACATATCATACTCTTTATGTTTCCTGGAAAATTATTTAACAAAATAAAAGTATCAGCTACTCTAGTCACGTACCATTCCATTTTGCTATGGAGCTAATGCAAACATCACTGAAAATTACCTTCTCAGAACACTTTATTCACCGATTACCCTGCTCAGAATTATTTAAGGAAAAAGAGGAGGGGAAAAAAAATGTATAATTACTATACTTAGTATAGTTGTGGCTTACCAAAAACAAAACAAAACAACAACAAAAATAATCCAAACAAACAAAACAAAAAACCAACCAACTCTTAGCCTATTTAAAGATGAAAAGAGAATCAACTGGAGAAAACAATAAACTAGTTTTGATGACTGAGTTTGGATAAGGCCTCAGAACTCATAGCTTTGATTCAGTAATGTTGAGATATATGTGGTTACTCTTTTCCTGTAATTATTGCTAGTACGCAAGTGTTAGTATTTGTTAAGATCTCACAAAAATTCTTACACTCCCAAAGTACCTGCCTGTGGCTTTATGCCATGATGTTACTGAGGCTTGACCCCTAAGGTTCCTTTAGTTTTGGTAAGGTAAAAAAAAGTCCACAGCTAAAAGTCAGATTAAGCATACTGGGGTTATAGTATTATTTCTTCCATAGACTTCTATCTTGAAAAGTGTGTAAATAAGACTAACACTTTACTTTGTACGGTGAAGAAGGGCAAAACAGAGAAGGCAGAGTTCTGTGCAAATGGCTTTCATATCTGGCCAGTAGTAGCAGTATTCAAGAATTCATCCTCTCTCACAATTGAGATGTTCTCAGTTTGAGTTTCCTAACCTCTTTCTTTCTTTGTAGTTGTTCCGAATACGTGCTTAAACCAGACACACAGCAAAAGTAGAAGAAAAAAAGTTAAAGAAAGAGCAGCATTAAATTTAGGCAATGCTTCCAAGAGTTGATCATCTGGCAACATGGCAGACTGGATGAGTTTGTTATAAAACATGAAGCGCAGCATCACAACTGGTGGTGATGGGCCGAGGCTGGGGAAGGGGTCACTAGTGAGGAGCCCATGTATGTTAAGCCTGTTTGAAAAAAGAAAGAAAGCAAGCTTCACATGATCTTCTTAATGCTATTACGTTTGAAACTGCCAGCACTTCTCTGCTTCTGCACTTGGCTTGCGGATCCATGCCGAGTTCGTCCACTGTTACAGTGGCCAGTGGTGGGGGAGAGTTCAACGTTTTCCTTGTCGATTCCTGAAGGGAAACAGAGCAGCCAGTTACTCCCTCTCTTTGGTGTTAAGCTATAGGATTCGATCTCACACAAGATCAACTTGGGAACTGTTTTAGGTATACTTGATTTTAATAGTCAACTGCCAGAACGTTTACAAAGGCCTTGCCACTCAGAAAACCTCAGATTGCTAAGCGAGGTTTGCCATCATAGCAGAGAACAGCATAAGGAAAAAGAAACGAGAAGGTGCAAGAAACAGCCAGAGACAGGCAGGCTTTAGCAGAGTAAAAAGCTGGCAACCACCAGGGGAGACTCAAACGCCTTCCTGCGCACCAGACGCTTCCAGCAGAGGCCAACTTCTAGGCACACGTCTCTACCCATGTTTAAGCACAGAATATACTCTCCGGTTGCAGAATGTACTGATCTGAAAATGATTTTTTTTTATTTGTCAAATTCACCCTTTCAGAAAAAAGTCAGATTTTTAAATTTTTTCAATCATAGCACCTGTCCCAAAGGCACCTAAATATTTACTGAGAAAACAATGTATCACAAAGGTTAGACCGCAGAATCTCTGCTTTAACCTTCTCTTCAACTATGGCAAGTCACTGCACGAGTGTTCTGCACCTACAGTGTTCTGCACCTCTCATTTCTCTCACGGTACAGACGACAACTTCCAAAAGCTGGGCCCTATGGGGATTTATTAATTACTTAAGTAGTAATTCCAGAAAAGTAACCACAAACAAAAACAAGGTATTTTCATCCTCCAAATTAGTACAGATTACAAATCTGATAGGGAACAGAACAGTGGCTACCCTCAGGGAAACAGTGACTGGAGGGGCAGGAGGGTGGTTGTGGGGTGCTGATAATCCTCTGTCTCTTGAGCTGATGGCTGGATTTGCAAGTGGGCTTCCTTTCTAAAAGCTCATTAAGCTGTAAACTTATGATTCGTGTGCTCTTCTGTCTGTTACAAGTCAATAAAATTTACCCAAGAGATCAGACTGATTTTTTGGCATAACTAATTGGTGGGAGAGCAAATACTTGGAGAGCAATTTGGCAAGTTGCATGAAAATATATTGACTGATATGTACTGAAACAGAAAGATGACTATAAGTAGGAAAAAAATCAAGTTACAGAACAGCATATATTACACCAAAAACCACAATTAAAAAATAGTAACAGCACATTTGGTATGCTTTCAACTTTAGGGAAAGAAGAAACAAATAGACAAACAAAAAACCCCCAAAACTGACACAGCAAAAGAAGCTGAAACCCCTTTGTCAAAATATGTGACCTCTGGCTGGTGCGCTTTCAGGTAATTTTTCCTTTCTTCTTTACTCTTATCTGTATCATTTGAATTTTCTAAAATCATCATAAAAAGTAGCTATCTCCATTTTTGGACAAAAATTATTTTGAGCCAAGTAACATCTGTTTTATTACAGCAAATGCACACAGATTCAACTATCCCTTTGCTGGCTCATGAACAAAAAGGAAATGTACTTGTGATAATCACCCGCTAGAAGCCGCACCCTTCATTTGGTTCAGCTCTGAATTCAATTTAGAGTACGAGGTGTCAAGGAGCACATGGCTTGGTTTACACAGGCTTAATAGAGGTTTGCTGTCTTGAACTTATCAAGGGGAGCTAGGCGTTTGTCAGTGGTTACTTATGAAAACGTGCAATGGGCTGGGGGTATGAGTGCAGTGCCCTCTGAGAGCCAAGTAAAGCAGAAGCAGCATCTCAAATCTGTTCTGTTCTAAACTAATCACATGCACAGAAAGATGATGGAAGAAAACACACAAAGTTCACAGTACTTTTCTCTGGGCAACAGAATTTTGGATGATTTTTATTCTCTTCTGCATATTTATTTGTATCTTCTTTAAGGCTCTTTTTAAATAGTAACAACACTGAAAGAGGGCTGCTCATCATCTCATAGCTGTGCCTTCAACTGCCGTGTGAATTCACCCAGCTGCCTTGTCTTTAATAGAAACAGGATAAAATCCAACCCGTCTCTTTTCTCCTCTTTCTTTCCTTCATGATGTATTCTTCTGTCTCCTGCTGGAACCACTTTCTCCTTCCTTTTTCTCTCCCTGCTTTTACACAGTATTACATTTTGCTTATATGATGACTACATCTGCATTTATTTCCTCCACTAGACTAAAAGCACCTTAAAGGGAAAAGATAATTTACTATTCATTTTTTCCCTATAACACGTAGTTGATGACTTCTTCGACAATGTTGGTTGAATGCATCCATTTTTAAAAAATATGATTGGCTCTATCCAGAAAGCACAAAACCTCTCAACTCTTCCTGGGGGTGCCACATATTAAGGAGAAAGGATAATTAAAAAATTTCCCCCTTTGGCTTTCTCCACTGGATATGGTCACAGAACATGTCAGTGTATCTGACTTTCCATCAAGTTTCATTTGATGTGGCCCCTCATCTGGAGTCATTTCCCTAATAGGAAATAAGAATAAAGGCAAAACTAGGACTTTAAAGTGAGGTGGTTCTGAAGTAACTTGGAGCCAGCAATCAGGAGGGACCAACAGCTTGGACAAGCACTTAGGAGGGTCCTGTGGTTCTCCACCAACAGTATGCCCCCTCGGGCTCTTTCCTGTGTGTCCTGCCTTGGAGGAATCTCGATACTGCTGGACGACGGCTCACTCTTGAGGGGAAAACAGCTATTACCTTGCAAGGCAGTTGTGCTCTGGTCTGAGGACAAGGACCTGCTCAGTGGTATTCTTGGGAACTGAAATTATATAAACTGTACTCGTGTATATTAAGTTACTAAGGTGAAGATTTCTAGAAAGCAGTACAAAGAATATTCTATTTTTTGTTTTGTTAAGCAATTAATCTTCAAACCTCAAATTAATTTCTTAGAAGGCTTATCTTCTGCTATATATGAAGGATAAAAAGCAAACTACAAAACTGCACACATAGTATGACCTCAACTATGTAAGAAACTGAAAGGAAATAGACCAAAATGTTAACTAACAGTGGTTATCTTAGAGTGATGAGGTTAAGGATTATTTTTTTCTTCTTTTGACTTCTCTAAATTTTACGTTCCCCCCTCCTAATGAGCACATTACTTTTAATTAAAAATGTTGACGTTCAACTGATTTGTCAGCCTTACCACTCAGAATCCTACATTCCAATGCTGTGTCAGAGGTTGATATCCTATTTCTACTCTCAAATTTTATTTTCATATCAATTCAATTCCTGCATTTGTGTTTTTTGTTCCCCCTACCCCTACTTAGTGACTCAATTCCACAAGTGACATAGGTAAATGATAATGATTCCTAAATTCAACTTTGTAGCAAAGATGTTTCATCCCTTTAAGGATCAAGGCAGAAAATGACATAAAAAATCCTAAAGGGTCTAATTAAAAAAAAAAAATTAAAATGTATTATATTTACCCCATATAGAATCTTGAAAAAGCCAAGTTAGCATGGAACAGAATGATCACAGTATCTAGTTCGAGACATTTTAAGTTTTTAAGCAAAATTCTCACTTTTAAGAATTTTGGCAGCATTCTTTGTTTTTATGCTTTAGAATTAGAAGCTGGTGGAGAACTTGGTCTCAGCATCTCCAGGATAACTCTTAAGCTCAGCCACCACACTGTTCAAATGGAGACGAAATCAACCCTGCACTGGTACTTGCTGTATTTTAAATGACTGAAGAGACCTTGGTGGTATACTTTTCATCCAGGCCTCTGTGAGCATTTTTGTGTTCTGGTCTCTTATGTCCCAATGCACTAAACCTCCCTTCTGGCCCTTGGGCACAAAAACAAAACTATGAAAGGACCAACCCAGAGGCCACAACCCAAATAAAATAAAGGTAAAAGCTTCTTGTGGTCCTGATTCACTAGGTTAAGTCTACCCACAGATATGCTGTGGTCAGACAATGCAGACAGTTACAAACAAGCAAGGCAGAGCAAGCTGTAAACGCTATACCATGGTGTATTAACAGAATTATGATTCAGTGAATTATGGCGCCTCCAGAGAAAGATAAGATCCTACGTAAAAAGTGTTAATGATCAAAATTTAGTGAACTGAGAAAGTGAGGAAAGAATTGTTGTATTACATTTACTCAAGGGATATGTCTGTCTCCTCTACTAGAGCATGAGTTCCTTGAAGGCAGGTATCAGAGCTTATGGATTTTTCCAACTAGTGATAAAACTCCAGCCTAACAAATAATAAAACAATTACTTTAAATTCATATATTTTTTAAACACCAAACCATTTTCCCAAACTGGAACCTAGCATCCTCAAAATGATAAAAGGATTGAATCCCTTTTAATTCTTGAGAAGCTGAGGAAAAATGGGTTATGTACTCTGTGAGAAGTTATACCACAAAAGTGAAAGACTAATAATAACCCAAATTCCCACTGCCTGCCTAGGAGAGCTTGTCAGTTATCTGATTCTGTTGCTTACTTTGTTACATTTATAATAATGCAAACCTGTCAGACAACTTGTTGATTATATACATAATAAGGCAAACGTGTCATAACACTTGGTTATTACAAATACAAAAAGGCGAACATGGTAGAAGGCTCAGTGGTTACACACAATATGAACCAAACATGCCAGAAGACCCAGGCCTGCCCCGGGGCTGGATCACAACTCTTATTTGGCTCCATATCTCAGAGCTGGGAATTGGGGATAACAGCAGATCTGCCTATCCCAAGGGGCTGCTGAAGAATCAAAAAAGATAATCTACGTGAAGACTTTCTGCACTTAGATGAAATAATTGCTGCACAAATTAAAATGCTCCTAATAACTGAAATAAAAAGAACAAGTGAGGTACTGGAAGGGTTTTAGGAAAAACAGATAGGACCTGAATTTTATGCTAGAATTTATACAATCACTGAAGCAAATATAAATAAGCATAAATACACTCTTTTCAGAAAAAAATATAAATATAGCTTGTTCTTCTGCTATAGTAAATGTATTCATGGAGATGTGTTAAACATCTATTTAGGGATATCTGTGAATATCCCTAAATATATATGTTTTTGTGCCCAAGGGCCAG